CCAGATAGTAACACAAAAAAAACATAAGTAGTTATGATAGGAGAGGTTTTTATGGAGAATTGAAATGAAATTGAAAATTTTCATTTAGATGTGATTGTGATGATATTTGTGATTGGAGGGGTACATGTGAGTGATAGAGTGAATGTTAGTTGAGGGGGAGGGGATGTTACAAACTCGATACTACAAAAACGTTCAGGCTAGGGTCATTTTAATGCGCTTGGATTGTGATATTTAATTAGGCATATTTCTCTCAACCAACGGATGATTTATCTGCAGAAGAAGTTCATTATGCTCTTATCGTGTCTTAATAACATCCAAACACAGAAACCTTGCCTAAAATAGTACCTATATCTTGACAGATGTTTTGCAGTGGCCTATTACGGACCGTGGCCCACTTGGTTGACCTTAAGTGAGATTTGTGAAAATAACACTACACTTCGACACCTTTAGGGTGGGCCTCCCTTTGAAGTAAGAACGTGCCTTCTCAACAGATATTTTTCTAAAAAAAGTACAGATTTAATCTGCATAACACTACTGATGAAATCGCAGAAGTGTGTACCACAAAATGTCCACCAATACAATTTTAATACTATTTAAAGATTCTTCCAAAAGCATTATTTATATTATATTCATCAAAAAGAAGATAAACCAGTTAACATAGGAACAATAACTCCTATGAAAGACGGTATAAGAAATGTGTTATTCATTGAATGATAAACCATATTTTGTAACTAATAGCCCAAGCAAATTAGGAAAAATAGAGGAACAAATCTATGTATTCCCAATTTTTTCAATAATGTGTCGGGGAGGGTCCCCTAATGAATATATGATAGGTGAGAATAAAATCACCCTGCCGCTCTCTGGTGGTGGGAGGTGTAAATGCCCCAATTTACGGTTTTTTGCTTATAACTTAAAAACGGCGTCTCGTAGCTTAAACTGTTCAATGTAAAAGTTAAAGCTTATTAAATTTGCTACGACTTTGATCGTATACATTATTAGTGAAAGACGCATAGTTTCTGAGATATCACCGCTCAAAAAAATAATGTTGAAAAAAAATTTCATCTCACATTTTTTGTTAAAATCTTATTTGTTTCTCCTTCTCTGTTATTTTTCAGAAATATTGACGGAAAGAAGGTTGTAGATAATTAAATTTACTTAGTATAGTCTAAATAACTATACAGTATAGTATATACAATGTAAATAGATAAGATGTAGGTATAAAGTTACAGCGTTTTTAAGATTATAAGAGAAAATCATGAATTACACAAATAGTTGCAAAGTTTTGATTTTTTATCATTGCATGATTTGTATGGTTTTTGATAATTGTTTAGGCCAAATATAATTATATTTATGGAAAAAATTGGTAATAGTTATGTAAATAACAATTTGTCAAAATAAAAAGGTTATCTATTTATTACGACGATCTAAGTTAAAACAATTAAAACATACAAAATAAATTCATACTTAATTATAGAACTAATGTTGACTGAACCTTTGTTCTTGCAAAAACAAAGGCTAAGATAACATTAGTTCTATAATTAAATATTCTAGTTCTTGCCACTGAGAAATACATCACAAATTCATGTAATGATGAAGATTGATCTTATTCTTTTCATTGTCTTCTTCATCATCATCTTCACATTGTTGTTGCATGGTTCAGGCAAGCTCCCTCGCAGGTACATACCTGGGAACAGTGGATGCCGTTTTTTCTGCATCCACACCTGGATCCACATTCAGTAGGCTCAGTCAAAATTAGTTCTATAATTAAGTATGAATTTATTTTGTATGTTTTAACTGTTTTAACTTGGATTATCAAAATAAATAGATAACCTTTTTAGTTTGTCAAATTGTTATTTACATAACTATTACCAATCTTTTCCTTAAATTACTTATATTTGGCCTAATCAATTATCAGAAACCATACAAATCGTGCAATGATAAAAAATCAAAACTTTGCAACTATTTGTGTAATTCATGATTTTCTCTTTTAATCTTAAAAACACTGTAACTTTATACCTACATCTTATCTATTTACATATTTGTATATACTATTGAAGTAAATTTAATTATATACAACCTTCTTTCCGTCAATATTTCTGAAAAATAACAGAGAAGGAGAAACAAATAAGATTTTACAAAAAATGTGAGATGAAAATTTGTTTTCGAACATTATTTTCTTTGAGCGCGGATATCTCAGAAACTATGCGTCTTTCACTAATAATGTATATGATCAAAGTTGTAGCAAATGTAATAAGCTTTAACTTTTACGCTGAAAAATTTAAGCCACGACACGCCGTTTTTAAGTTATAAGCAAAAAACCGCAAATTGGGGCATTTACACCTCCCACCACCAGAGAGCGGCAGGGTGATTTTATTCTCACCTATCATATATTCATTAGGGGACCCTCCCTGACACATTTTAAAAAAAATTGGGAATACATAGATTTGTTCCTCTATTTTTCCTCATTTGGACTTATTTGCTTGAACTATAATGTCATTGTTGTTTCTACACCTATTTATTACTCATTAAACAATGCTAAATGCTCACATTATTTTATATCACTCTTTGTGTCGCAGTTTGAAGAATTGTCATAAGCCTTAAAGTTTCAGTTACTTTCAACTTTGTTGGTGTGCTTGGTGTATAGGCCTACGTTAAGATACAGGTTGTGAATATAAGTATTTGGTTATTGTTTATATTCTAACACGTAAGGGAAATATATTGTAATACTACCGTAATATTATTGAGGTATCTAACACATGCTAGATTATTATTTCCTATGCACTTATGCCTACAATACTAGCCATCATACCCGTGCTTCGCAACTGAAAGAGAACGCTTAAGAGAATATGTAGATAAACTTTTAGTAATCCACTAAAATTACTAACTTAAAGTATTAACTGGCTACTTTCGTTTCCCAGACATTATTGTTTTGGGAATAAACCATACAAATACAGTAGGTTTTTATAAACATTTTCGAAAAAAAGAAAGTCAATAAGTTTAACGAATTATGCACTTAAAAAATAAAACTCCTAATTGACCCAATATCAAAAATTATTTATTAAATTAAAAACATAACCATTCGGAGTCCATAACGTTAAAATATATATATACAAACTTCCTCTTTTTATAAATATAGACTAGGGTGAAACCCGTCGAAAGCGACGGTTGCTTTATGATAATTTTTTTGAATTACCATCAATTAATGTTTTCAAATTAAGAATCAAACAATTTCTCTTCAGGCTTGGTATAGATGAGGCCGACGTTATCATCACAGCTGATTACCGGCGCGTTTGACCCGAACCTTGCCCCCTCTATCCTGATCCAGCATTAATCCTAGTAGTCTAGTCCCCACCTGTTCAAAACTGTATTCATTGTAGATCTATTCAATTTTACAATTCATAAATCTCCTTTCTAAACTAATAACATTCAAGCAACAGTCTAAATTCCATTATTCATCCTTTTATAGGCATAATTCCATATAACTTGGTTACTATAAATATTTAAATAGCAACCCAGCAGACGCACAGGCAGCACTTGCCTATGTCTGCTGTATTTCTTACAATCAATTTAATTTAGTTTATACAGAAATGTTCTTTTTTATTCTTCGTCTTAGTTTTATTTTTTAAGTATTTTGTATTAAAAAGTGTGTCATTGTTTTCTGTATATATTATGTGGAAATAAAAAAACATTCATTCATTCATTCTTTAACATCCTGGGCTAGAGAAAAAAATATGCTGTACTAGCCAATATACAAATATTTTCTCCTGTCAAATCCTGAAAAGCACAGCAGACAAAAATCTGTATATTCTTGTACAGTAATTTTAAACAAAATTTATTATTGTTTTATCATCTTAGATAGCACATTTTGAGTTTACATAAATTATTAGTAGTTTTGTTATTCATTTGCTTTTTCTGTTTGGTGCTGTACGATAAACCACTTACTTCTAGTTTATATGTATACATAAAAATTCAGATTTTTAGAAACATTGCTTTGTCATTAAATTTATACATGTGTATAAATTGTACGTAATTTATTTTTAACATTGTAGACTACCAATTTAATATAGTTAAATAGAACATTTTGTACTTTTGTGTCAAATTATTTTATTGGTGATAAAATTTTATTTGCTTTTAAGTTCTTAAATACTTGTATTTTATTTAAAAACCAAAATAAACTGTTATAAACTATAGGCTATGGACAACCGTATTCATTGCTAAATGCTGTACAAGAGAAATTGGTCATGAATCTAATAACAAACATAATAATAATACATCATGGAACTATTGATCACGTTTCTTAGATGACTAACTTACCAACATAAAATTATTGTGTTTCTGTCTGTTGTCAATAATTCTTAGTTTCATTAACTTTCTGCCTAAATTTAAATAAATTTTACTAATATTTTTTTTATATTTGAAGTGCTTTTGACAATTGAAATAAGCTTAAACCCTCTTTTTTGTTTCAAAACTGCAAAATTTTCCAGGGGGGGGCACGGACCCCCCTTGTTTGCTGGGGGGGGTATTTCATACCCCCCGGTGTTTGCCCCCCCAAGGATTTGGTGAAATGACGCCACTGTTTCCGACACAACAACAATGTTGAAAGTAACTGAAACTTAACATTGACTGCAGAGTTTGAACCATCTGTGTTTGAATATGATTTTCTGACACAACAACAATGTTGAAAGTAGCTGAAACTTAACATTGACTGCAGAGTTTGAACCATCTGTGTTTGAATATGATTTTCTGACACAACAACAATGTTGAAAGTAACTGAAACTTAACATTGACTGCAGAGTTTGAACAATCTGTGTTAAAATACGATTTTCCGAGAGTAAACCCGGTTAGCGCGAAACTCCAAGTCCATAACTGTAGGCTACTGTGGTAATATCTAGGCTAGGAGGATAAACATTTAATCCTCCTAGGGTAATATATGGCTATCATAATGAGCATCAACCACCTAGTCTTTTAAGCTTACTTGTAACATAGAATAATTTTCCTACCTCGGCTGACGTCGTTGAGAAGTCAGGAGCGGGTCTACTGGCAGTCTACTGGCTAGTCACTGAGTGTAGTCAATCACTACTGCCTAGTGCCTACTGCCCAAGTGCCCACTGCCCAGTGTCCGTCGAACGCTCCGAGAACTCCCGACAATCCAACAATCCAAGAGAAGATGAGAGGAGAGGAGAAGAGAGGAGAGCAGAGGACTAGAGAGCCAGAGAGTGAGAATCCCCTCCGAGGGGAGGGAGAAAGGTTCTTTGTCCTCTCTCTCTCCCCCCTCACCCCCCCCCTCCTATGTACACAAACATCACCGCCTTTTCTTTTGGGGCATACCGTCAGTTCATTCAACTTTATAGGGACGATCCCCGATGGCCTATATCACAGAAAATGAACTCAATTCAATTCTCTGGACTATTTCTCTAATCTGTGCCGGCATGTTCATATTGTCTCACCCTAATACCAATAGCCACTTAAATGTATGGTATTTGAGTATTACAAAATACAAATTTTTATTTCCTTGGTCCTGTAAATACGGTAATTGTATGGGGAAATCAATTATACAGTATTATGGGGATGTTGTTGTATTTGACTATTTTAATATATATTCTATAATTTCGGTACATCTACGAAGATAGGTTACAGCAAAAATGCACCCTATAGTACCACTACTGGCCTACTATGCCTTTAATTAAATAGCTCCAAACTCCAGTGTTTAAAAAGCGAGTTATTATGAAAATGTTGCATCTCGGTTCTTAAGACTTGCTTTGGAAAGTGTTGTAACCCAAACAAGCAAACATTTGATTTTTCTTTGTTGTTCTAAATCGTCTTCTCTTTGATAACATGTGAAATAACTTTTTAAAATACGTAAAATCGTAATTATTATTTAATTTGTAGGCTATTTATTTTTATTTGGTCTACCTAAAATGAGTAGGTAGTTCTTTCTAATCAGTCTTGACCTGTATACTACACTTGTACTGTGATATCCCTACATTAATAGTCGGCAAACAGATCAGCAGAATGTTTACCTGGTCAGCACGTAGCACTGCTGAGTAGTGAGTACTGTGGTCTACTTCCTACGACAAGTCATTCGACCATAAAACGTATTAAATAAAAGTTGATAGTTGGTGGTAGGTTGGTGGAAGTTGTAGTGTTGTAGTGACCAAATTTAGTGACCACTATATTCTTGGTGATCAACTTCTTTCACTTGTTGACGTAGTACAATTATTCTACATTTTTGTACTATTTGTACCAAAACTAAACTTAAACAATTTGGTGCCTCTATATAGATTGTGTGTAATAGTGATTTAAAATAATTGCATACAACAAAACTTAAAATATACTTAATATATTGTTGAGTACTATTATTGTGGGGCAGTTTTTAAATTTGTTGCCTACAGTTAATGAGTTGTTAATGACTGAACATGCTCACTACAACTAGCGCGGTGTGCACATATACTGAAGTTCAAATAATATATTCACACTAGGAGAAACCCGTCGAAGTCGACGGTTAGGGGCCTCTTCGTTTATATTGGCGTGCAGCTTCATTGGCAACAAATAATGCAAATGACATAGCAAAGTGACATTTCCAAAAAACAAAGAATACTGTAAATTGGCTGTTACGTAAATATTGACGTTTAAATACATTGTTAATCAACGTAGGTATCTTATAAAGGATTATGTGATCTAGTTTAAAAGGAATATGACCTTTCTGTCATGACAGTAGCTGCTTAAATAGTATTTACTCTTTGTGCCATTTTTGCAGCCAAAATGTCATGTTATTTTCAATAATTACCAACCTAGTAATTATCTACACGGTCCGTAATATAGGCCACTGCAAATAATTTGACAAAGATAGGTACCGCGCGGTACCATTCTAAGCAAGGGTTCTTGGTTTGTGTGTTATTAGACACGTAAGAGCTCAATGAACTTCTTCAACAGATAATTAATCTGTTGGGGGAATTATAAATGCGAGTTTGGGCATTTTGTAACTGTATAAATAAGTTACATAGTATTTTTAGGCTGCTGCTCAGTCCACTTAAGAATATATATTTAAAAAAAAATTAAATTGTTTTTGTTGCTGAGTAGCAATAGTTAACATGCAGAACCCTCTTCGTTAGTCTAATAACATTCAAAGGCTCTCTAAAAGTTGAAGTTGTTATTTGTATACATACCCTTATTATGTTTTTACCAAGCGGAATGAATACATCAAAGTAACCTCTCTGAAAAGTCTGCAGTAAATCGCATAGTTTTCCAGTTTAATGACTTTTTAAGTCATGCACATATTTCTACATAAATATTGTAAAATGTTTTATCCAGTTGCTGTACCTACACTAATATTAATTTAACAAAATATGGACAAAATGGACAACGTGCCCTTCTGTATTATTTTGTATTGTTACACAATCAAAGACTTTTCCAATTATTGAAAACATCCATGACAATAACCTCATGAACCTATGATGATCTCTGTCTGGAATAATATGATTAATTAAATATAGGCAAAAGTAGTAATAACGGCAGACATTGGAACGTTATATTGCAAAACATGGCATGATACAAAAGAAAATCAATTTTAAAATCAGTCTTATGGAGAAATATGAAACTTTAAAGGGCCCCAGGGCCTCACTCTCTAAAAAAGAAAGTTTCCTGCACAACTTCAAGTTACGCTCTTTCTAATGACACCAAAAACATGTCAATCGGTTCAGTAGTTTCGGAGGAGTAATTGTCACAAAAATCCTTCTTGCGTATTAAATAAGTATATATAGATAGATTCTTTTCAATGATAGAAAATACTAGTGTACCTGTTGCTCGAATTCGAGCAATTGCGAAGCATTACAGGCGTTATTTTAAAATAATTTCCGATTACTTTATAAGAGTAAACTTAAAGATTATGGAAATACTCAAGATGTACACAACAGTTAGATGTAATTAAAACTGTTTTTAAATATCTTATCTTTTTTCAAAAGCTGACCTTGTTTTTTAGTGTTTTCTACAAATGCTTCCCACTCATAGCCGCATTAGGTTGTCTATAATAACGATTATAAATGAAAAATACCCCCGCCGCAGCAAACCTGCAGACTGAGCGAATTTCCATTTGCCTGATTGGATTTACACTAAAATGTCTCCTTAAAAATATCACATTTATTCCCTGCTATTTAAATCAAATCAGTTTAACACATACTTAGGTTTGCTGCAACAGGGAGGGTTAAAGTGTTTTTTTATGTAAAATGTTAATAGTTAGTAAAAAATAAAAACATTTTCCAAATTTGGGCAAAATTTGAGAATGGATAAATAATAACAGAGAAATGTGTTCTTTTTGTAATGCATGACCACTTTTCTTCATTTAAACAATGCTAATTCTCCTTTTATATTGTCTAAATATCTTTTCCTACAGTTACCTAACAATGTACATGTTCTCTCACTGATATGAGAAAGCAAAGTGGCCAATTCGCTCATCAGTGAAAAACATTGTCTCACTCCAGATTTGCAATGTGAAGGCACGAAATAGTGAGTGCGTAACATGCAGACAAGGTTGTATGGGCGCAAAATACGTTGGCAGCACTGGCTGTAAATCAGCTGGTCAGCTGTTGTACTGTTGTATTTGTAACTTCACATTAAATGTTATATTAAAAGTTCACTTCTGTGTAAGGGTAAAAACACAGTGGAGCAGGGCAGGTAGCTGGTAGCCTGGCTGGTCGCTTACTCGCTTACTGCGATCTAGAATTAAAGCACGCGTTGTTATGGGTAACCACACAGTCGCGCCTAGCAGGTAGCCGAGACAGTAGCAGTGGTAGCAGTAAGCTAGGCGGCAAGCTAGAAGAATTGCCAAGTCGATTGTTTGGGAGCTGCAAGCGGGGAAGGCACGACTGGGGCATGCGCAAATAGCAGAACTTGACAGCCACGTGTTCACAAGTTCAACGCGGACTCTTTCACTGCGCATTCTTGTACACAGAGTATTGTTTATTTTAATTGATTTAATTGGTTGTTGTTTTGTTTACATGAAATACAATAATGGACGTAGACAAATTGATATCACAGGTTTTATCCGTGTGCCTTTGTGGAACCAAGCCCATCCGGACCACCACAACCGTCACGTACTCAACGATCTGTGGAATGAAATAGCAATTGAACTATGATTCAAACATAAGTTTATTCTATAATACTAATATTATAAGTGATAATATTAGTATCGGCGGCTGACAAGCGACTGTACTGAGCGCCACTGTGTGTATGTCCCAGCTACCCTCCAGGTAACCAGCCGTGCGGGGACCAGCGTATATACAAGTATGCGACCTGCCCTGCTCCACTGTGTTTTTACCCTAAGGATTTCTCTCGAGTGAGTCAATTGCTCACTAGTTGCACAAATAACTATTACAATCATTTGTTATATGTCAATCAGGAGTTTTATAACATAACAACTGATTAAATAATTTGTTTTTGTTATTTATAAGTATAAGTTATTGTTTATTATAAGTAACATTAATCTCTCTTTCTTTATTTACAAGAGGCCTCCTTTACTTACAACAACTATTCAAAATGACAACTTTCAACCCGGTTGCGTAAGCACCTAGTAAAGACTTGCAGTGATATTCAGAAAACAATCTATTACTATTATAAAGAAGAGGTGGTGTCTGTGTGTGTGTGTTTGTATGAGCTAATCTCAAAAACTACTGAACCTACTGGGCTCAAACTGCACACACATGAAGCTACAGTTCCGAGGATACATATAGAACTATTCCCGCTTCGATATTGTCCTAGGGCTCTGCCCCGTGGGCATACAAAAATTTGAGGTGAGAGATTTAAAAGTAAATATGGTATTTGATATTTGATTGATGGTATCCATGGTAACAAAGAACAAACCTACAAAGTTTAAAAATGTAAACAAGCAGAACTAACAACTGTCAAATGAATTTTGATTTCTCAATTCCACACAGCTGGTTCAAACATATTAAATACTGCACGAATATTAGAACAGAGAGGGTAAGGATTATCTATCTATCTATATATTAATAGGCAAGCATGTTTGTTTAAAACCTTTTTTCTCAGCTCGTGTGCATCGTGGGGTAAATCTACGCATACCGTTAGAAAGCTATTTTCCTGTAGGTGTGCAGAATCCTTTTATAAATTTAAATAGGCTCAAAGATAAGCACAAAAAATG